GGGGGTTGGGGAGAGAGGGGGGTTGGGGAGAGAGGGGGGTTGGGGAGAGAGGGGGGTGGGGAGAGAGGGGGGTTGGGGAGAGAGGGGGGTTGGGGAGAGAGGGGGGTTGGGGAGAGAGGGGGGTTGGGGAGAGAGGGGGGTTGGGGAGAGAGGGGGGTTGGGGAGAGAGGGGGGTTGGGGAGAGAGGGGGTTGGGGAGAGAGGGGGGTTGGGGAGAGAGGGGGGTTGGGGAGAGAGGGGGGTTGGGGAGAGAGGGGGGTTGGGGAGAGAGGGGGGTTGGGGAGAGAGGGGGTTGGGGAGAGAGGGGGGTTGGGGAGAGAGGGGGGTTGGGGAGAGAGGGGGGTTGGGGAGAGAGGGGGGTTGGGGAGAGAGGGGGGTTGGGGAGAGAGGGGGGTTGGGGAGAGAGGGGGGTTGGGGAGAGAGGGGGGTTGGGGAGAGAGGGGGGTTGGGGAGAGAGGGGGGTTGGGAGAGAGGGGGTTGGGGAGAGAGGGGGGTTGGGAGAGAGGGGGTTGGGGAGAGAGGGGGGTTGGGGAGAGAGGGGGGTTGGGGAGAGAGGGGGGTGGGGAGAGAGGGGGGTTGGGGAGAGAGGGGGGTTGGGGAGAGAGGGGGGTTGGGGAGAGAGGGGGGTTGGGGAGAGAGGGGGGTTGGGGAGAGAGGGGGGTTGGGGAGAGAGGGGGGTTGGGGAGAGAGGGGGGTTGGGGAGAGAGGGGGTTGGGGAGAGAGGGGGGTTGGGGAGAGAGGGGGGTTGGGAGAGAGGGGGGTTGGGAGAGAGGGGGGTTGGGAGAGAGGGGGGTGGGGAGAGAGGGGGGTTGGGGAGAGAGGGGGGTTGGGGAGAGAGGGGGGTTGGGAGAGAGGGGGGTTGGGGAGAGAGGGGGGTTGGGGAGAGAGGGGGGTTGGGGAGAGAGGGGGGTTGGGGAGAGAGGGGGGTTGGGGAGAGAGGGGGGTTGGGGGAATCAACGCATGCATGTGTGAGTAACCAGTCGGACAGCTTGGCATGCAGGCCGCCTTGAAGTCCCTGAAAATCACCTGCACACGTGTGCAGGGGTGGGATGTGGGGGAGGGGAAGAGGACAGGAATCACCGGATATGTATGGATCAGCAAGGGTAAAAGTCTGGCAGCTTGGCGTGCAGGTCTGTGTCAAGCAGGGTGTTGGCGTGTGTGGGGTGGGGAGGGGAGGAGAAAGGTATGTGCGCACGTAAGTAAAGCTTGACCCTGACCGCGTGAAGGTCGCCGCCCAGCAGGATGTGGGCACAAACTCGTACACCAGCAGCCGGTGCTCCTCCTCCGCACAGTACCCCAGCAGCAACAGCCGCCCCTCTTGCCTGAAGATGCCAGCGTAAGCAGATAGAACGCCTCACCTGGTTCTCTGTCTCATCATGCAGGTATGCCAGCCCCTTAGCCACACCAGCAGCTGCTCTTCCCCTGAGGTGCCTGCTCAGCAGACAGACAACACATGCACGCCACACAACGCACCTGGTTCTCTGTCTCGTCATGCAGGTAAGCCAGCCCCTTGGCGGCATCCAGAGCAACCTTGATGCGGTCCAGCCAGGCCAGCCCCGGCCCGCCCTTGTTGCCTCCTCCAGTCTTAAACAAGTGGTCCTCGAGGGACTTGTTGGGCACAAACTCGTACACCAGCAGCCGGTCCTCCTCCTCCGCACAGTACCCCAGCAGGAGCAGCCCCTCTTGCACTTGACTGGACGGGGTGCTAGCCCTAGCAATTAGCAGGAGCACTGTTAGCCACACAACGCACCTGGTTCTCCGTCTCGTCATGCAGGTAAGCCAGCCCCTTGGCGGCATCCAGAGCAACCTTGATGCGGTCCAGCCAGGCCAGCCCCGGCCCGCCCTTGGCTCCATTGGTCTTGAAGAGGTGGTCTTCGAGGGACTTGTTGGGGACAAACTCGTACACCAGCAGCCGGTGCTCCTCCTCCGCACAGTACCCCAGCAGCCGCACCAGCCGCGGGTGCTGGATGTTTCCCAGAAAGTTCACCTCCGCCAGCCACTCCTTGTGGCCCTGGTATGAAACGGATGTGAGGGGAACGGGGAGAAAAGAGAGGGAGAGAAAAAAAGGGGAAAGGGAAGGTACCCACTGTGATCTGCTGCACATCAGTTTTGACACACTGTTGTTTTTAAGCACGCCTCTATATAAACACGTACTCACGTACTCACGTACTCACTCACACAATCTGTCAGGACAGGCCCACCAGCTTCGGTAGATTCCCAGGGGCCCACCCACCCACCCACCCGCAGCGCATCTAAGTCCGGTCTCTTCCCTGCCACTGCAATCACTTGTCCCATCGCAATAGTCACGCTGTCTATAAGCGCGTGCACGCGCACGCACACACACACACACACACACACACACACACACCCACACACACCCACACACACACACACCCACACACACACACTCACACACACCCACATACACACACACACATAAACACACACACCTAGCTGAAGCCTTATTGAGCCCCTTCAATGCTACCACAATCTTATGTCGCGTCACCTTAGGCACACCGCCTATAGGCACGCACACACACACGCGAGCGCGTATAGCTGCTGCTGCATCCCCACACTCTCACCTGCAGCCCATCTATACCAAGTCGCTCAACCTCCACCGTAATCTTCTGCCTCATCACTATAGGCACACTGTTTATAGGCACACGCCCACACACACACACACACACACTACACACACACACACACACACACACTCACACACACACACACACTGACCAGCCTGCAGGCTGCCCCACCTCCCCCCCCCCAACACACACAATCTCACTCACCTGCAGCCAGTCTTTATCGAGTCTCTTAACCGCCACCATGATTTTCTGGCCCATCACTACAGGCACGCCGTCTATAAGCTCGCGCGTGCGCACACATGCACACACACACACACACACACACACACACACACACACACACACACAGAGCTAACTGCAGCAACCCCACACTCTCACCTGCAGCCCGTATTTATTGAGCCTCTTAACCACCACTGCAATCTTCTGCCGGCACACCGTCTATAGGCAGAAGATTGCGGTGCCGCCTATAGGCACACAGACACACACCGCCTAGTACCTGCAGCATCCCCACCCTCTCACCTGCAGCATCCCCACCCTCTCACCTGCAGCCCATCTTTATTCAGTCTCTTAACCGCCACCACGATTTTCTGCCCCATCACTATAGGCACGCCGTCTATAGGCCACGCGCCCACATGCCCCTTGTACACGCCCCCGAATCCGCCCTCCCCCAGAAGATTCTCCCTGCTGAACGCCCCTGTGGCCGCCCTCAGCTCCGTATACGAAAACACACGGAGATTCCCAGCGTTCTGCTGGGTGATGGCAGGCATACGTGGCATGCTGCTACTGGTACTGACGGTGCTGCTGCTGTTGTTGTTGTTGTTGCTGCTGGCGCCGGCATTTGAACCTCCTCCTCCTCCCCCTCCGGTAGACCCTGACTTCTGCTGTTGGTTCTGTTTTTGGCTCTGCTGCTGCTGCTGCTGCTGACTGCCAGACTTGGGTAAGACACCGCCACTACCCCCACCGGAGCCCCCACCTGCGCCTGAACCCGTCCTTCGGAAACTACCCCCCCCACCACCACTCCCCAGCCCGCTGCTTCCTATGTTAGTCCCCCCACTGCCTCCCACTGCCCCTGCACTTCCGCCACTCAAATTCGACGAGCCAAATGACTGGGGAGAGGGCAGGGGGAGCGCCATTCCGCCAAAGAGGGGCGCGGGGGAGCCAGGCACGCGAAGGATCCCGTGGGGGGACATGGGGGGGGAGGGGGGTCTGGGGAGGGGGGTTCCGGGCTGGCGGGGGGAGGGGAGGGGGTTGTGGGGGTTGGATTTGGCTGGGCGGAGCATTCCTTGGGGAGAGGCGGAATGGTTGGGGGAGGGGGATTGCTTGGGGGTGGAGGGTTGAGGGGAGGGTCGGCCTAAGGAACGGTTGGAGCTAGATCGGCCTAGAAGGCTGCTGCCTATCCGCTCGTTAGAAACCGGCTGCTGCTGCTGCTGTTGCTGCTGTTGGTTCGGACCTGTTTTCTCCTGGGAGTGGCTTGAGGGCTGGCTGTGTCCGTGCTGCTGCTGCTGCTGCTGCTGCTGGTTGTGCTGGTTGGGGCCTTGCAGAGGAGAGCTGGTGGACGGGCGGTGGTGGGGGGGGAGCGGGGGCGTGTGCGCGCGGTGCCTGTCATTGGATAACGAGCGCGAGATGGCGCTGTGCGCGAGGAACGCACTTCCGCCTCCCCCCCCACTCCCCGCGCTGTTGCTCGTCGGGGCTCCGCCTCCTCCTGCTGCTGCGCTGCTGTCCCGAGATTCTGAGACGATCCCCCCGCTTTTAGCTCCGCTGATACCCCCCCTAGGATTGTTTACAGCAACCCCTGAACCTGAGCTCATACTGCTCCGAGCGGTGGCATCAGCACTACTGCTCTCACCATCACCCCCCGTGCTGCCATCTGCGGTTGACCCAATCCCGTCTGCTGCTTCTGCTGGGGTTGCTTCTGCTGCTGCTGCGTCTGCTGCTGCTGCTCCTGCTGCTTCTCCTGCTTCTGGTAGGTCATCCGTGCTGTCTCGAGCCTCTGCCACATCTGCAGCCGCCGCTGCGGATGCACACGTGTCCTGAGCACCAGCCATTTCCGCTGCAGCTGCTGCCTCCGCTGAGACGCCTTCCTCGCCTTCCTCGCCTTCCCTCAGACTCGGATGCGAAGACTGAATAGCACCGTCATCCTCACTACACCGGTTGCTAAAATCGTGCTCTTGCCCTTCACCAACCTCAGCTACACGCCCGCTCTGCTCCGCCTCGCTCCCCCCTCCTTCCCCTGCTAACCTTCCGCTTCCGCCATCCGCTGCCTCCCCTGTGTCCTCATCCGCCGCACCAACTTGCGCCTGCTGGGCCTCCGCAGACCGGTTGAACTCCGCAGACCCGTTTTCGTCCGCGGACAGACCTACTGCCGCCGGTGCCTCGGCCTTCTCCCCAGGAGCATCAACGACAGTGTCACTGGCGGCTTCAGGCGGCGACTCTTGCAGCACGACAGGCGGGTCTTGCTTCGAGGGCGCGACTGATGCGGCGGAAGAGATGTCTTTCGCGAGGCTGGAGACTTCCGTCGCAGGAGGCGCTGCTGCGAGAGCTGCGGTCGTTGCTTGCGAAGGTTTCTCGGGCTTCTCTGCTGCGGAAGGTACCACTGCTGCTGGTGCTGCTGCGGTTACTGATGGTGGTGCTACAGGCTTGGTAGGTGGGGGGAGCGGAGGGTTGTCTACTGCTGCTAGAGCCTTGGATCCCCCACACCCCATGGGCGAACCCTTGCCCTGAACCTAAATTACTCACAACTCTGGAATTACTAAACGCTCAGAATTATGTTAATACGAAGGGTCCAGAGAAGGAGATTATAGACGGTTGAATACGGTTCAGAATGCGCTGGTCGATGATCTCAGCGGTAGCGGCCGCATTCTGGAAAGCGAGAGGTCGGAAAACGAAGCGCAGCACTTATTATGTGTATTTCCAAAAACTCCTTCCGGAATGAATGACAACAGGGAACGTCAGGTATTCTTGGACAAAATTCTTCTATTTGTAATGTATTGTTCGCATTGTAAGATCTCTTAGAAAAAAAACCCACGATTAACAATGAACACGGCGTGAGCTATGAGCGTGTCTAGCCTTCAAGATTCGGAAGTGCTCGAGCGGACCTAGGAATTGTGTAGCTGTTCGATGGTTGCCAGCACCCCATGGATGTTATTAGTGTCAGGACTACTGAATCATTCCGCCTCTCGACATTATCGCACTTTTTAAAACGCTGGAAGCATAGGCGTCAACGATTGTGAGGAGTGCAGGTCAGTAAGGCCTATCTAGTCTTTTAATTGCTGGCGAAGGTACAGTGATCAATGCGAGACTGGAAATGTATATGTAAGCTTCGCGAAACTGACTCGCAGCGTTTGGAAACAGCCAAACATGATCGCCAGGCTAACAAAAAATGAATTTCATAGAACCTGTACTAAAATTGGTAACGGGCTATCTAGCGTAGAATGCGGAGAAATGGGAGGTGTACGGAACGCATTCTGAGGTTCATGAGAGAATTGCTCCAGGGCCTTGTTTAGTGATTCACTCTTGCCCATGTGTCCCCGAATTGCTCGCGTGGCCATCCAATTCAGTGATAATTGCTCGAGTGGCCATGCCAGGGCATTTTCGAGGTGTTTTTTTTCCTGGCACATTACCCTACAAGGGTTCGTACCCCCGAAATTCCTCGTTCGCACAACAGTAGATGCGCGGTCATTTTCGGCCCAATGCGCGACCAATGAGCGCGTGGGCAAATACATCAGCGATCATAAACTGCAACGCCGGAGCATAAATACATGAACATATTAGTGAACGCGCACGATTGGTCGATAATATGTTTCTTGCCCTTTTTGGCAATGCGCGTCCAATCACGCACTGTCATATAATTCATGACCATATATTTAGGCGATAAAGGGTCGCCCAACAAACAATATGAGCGTGCATATACTACCATTAGTTCTATTATATGTCTGCTACTTATAAATCCATGTATATCAAATGTCATAAATATGTTTTCTGCTATTAATTTAAGCCCAGCATAACCGTGGTCCATAATATTGTATTGCCGGTAATATACCACGCGTTCCGCATTGTAATAAAGATTGTGAACCACCTTGCGCTGGTATGTGAGAGCAAAGTAAGTTGATAATAACAAAAACATACAAGCTTTTTATATGATTACAAGGAATATGAAAAGGTTATATTTTTAACTGTTTTTGCTATCGCGGTTCGATATAGTGCCGACTCGGGTAACTGTTCTGTAACGAATCAGTTATATGTCCTTGCTGTCGCACTGTACGTTTTGTCAGGTCAAAGGTCGGGGACCTTTGACCTTCGCGTAACCTCCGACAGTTGACTCGCGAGATACTTCGCTGTAGTTAGTTCCGTTTGTGTCTTTATCTTCGATGCGACAGAGGCGCTATAAATCACTTGTTTCCAACACTCCCCTTCGCCTCTGGAGTGTCGCTGCAGGTGACGTGGCTCTGTCCAGTCAGCAGCATGCAATATTCGAACTTCGACTTTCCGAGCTTCTTGGTCAAGTAATCTGCTGCCATCTCGGATGTGGGGCAGTAAGACAGCTCAAGTCTTCCCTTCTCGATCTCGTCCTTTACGAAGAAATATCGCAGGGCGATATGTTTCGTCCTGTTCGCGAATCCATTTTTGTTGGCGATGCGAATTGCCGACTGGTTGTCGCAAAATAGGGAGAAGCTGGGTAACTGGGCCAGCTTCGCTTCCTCCAGGAGTTCGCGAAGATACAATCCTTCCTTGGTGGCTGAGCAGAGTGCGATGTATTCAGCTTCAGCTGAGGAGAGGGCGATTAATTCTTGTTTGCTCGACTGCCACGAAATAGGTCCGATAGGCTCGAGACGATAGATGTAGCCTGTGCGCGAGCGTCTGTTGTCAGAATCTCCGGCGTGGTCAGCGTCGACGTAGCCGATTAGCTTGGGCGTTGTAGTTACGTTTTTGTAGTAGATCAGGCCGATCGTCGGAGTGCTTACGAGGTAGTGTAGGGCGCGATCGAGTTCCTTCATGTGTTGATCTTCAGGCCTTTTGAGGTAGGTGGCGAGTTGGCTTGCTGAGTATGATAGGTCTGGACGACAGGTGACGGCCGCGAAGAGAAGGCATCCCAGCTTTCTCTGGTAGTTGCGTATGCCGGCGGGTTTCAGTAGAGCGGATTCTGTCTTGTCATTTCCTGCCGTGTAGCGGTATGGCGTGGAGATGGTAGTTGGCGTGAGTGCGAACCGTTTGGCGATGGTGTCTGTGAAAATTTAAGAAGAAGAAGAGGGGTTGCACTAGCAAGAATGAGGATACAAATAGCAAACCCTAGAAGGGTTGTACTCGCTATAGAGCACCCCACTACAGGCTAGAGCATAATATTCTGACACACCCCCATAGCCAAAGTGGGGTGTAATCAGCAGAGCAAGTAAAGCAGTGTCAGATTTATATGACATAGCTACTGTAGGCTAGAGTGGGGTAGCACATATGGGGTACAGTTTTCTAGGGTTTGCTTCTTGTACCCAACTTTCACTTAGTCATTCTCATTCCTGTTTTTCTTGATTCACATGGTATAGAGCGGGTTCCTACATGGGACCGTTCCTTCCTAAGGGCCCACCATAAGAATTTTTTTTTTAGCTGCCCGCGCACATTGCGCCCTGCCCTAAATTTTTTTTTTTTAGCGGCCCCTACGCTGCCTCTACGCGGCCCCTACGCCGCCTCCCACGCGCCCCCTATGCGGCCCCTGGCGGCGCCCTGACGAGGCCCCTGCCGGCGCCCTATCGCGGCCCCTGACGCGCCCCCCCTGGTGGCGCCCTGACGCGGCCCCTGGCGGCGCCTGACGCGGCCCTGACGCGGCCTGACGCGGCCCCTGGCGGCGCCCTGACGCAGCCCCTGCTGCGGCCCTGACGCGGCCCTGCCGCGGCCCCTGACGCGGCCCTGACGCGGCCTGCCGCGGCCCCTGCCGCGGCCCTGAAGCGGCCCCTGACGCGGCCCTGACGCGGCCCTGCCGCGGCCCCTGGCGGCGCCCTGACGCGGCCCCTGACGCGGCGCCCTGACACGGCCCCTGCCGCGGCCCTGACGCGGCCCTGCCGCGGCCCCTGACGCGGTCCTGACGCGGCCTGCTGCGGCCCCTGCCGCGGCCCTGAAGCGGCCCCTGACGCGGCCCTGAAGCGGCTCTGCCGCGGCCCTGACGCGGCCCTGACGCGGCCCCTGACGCGGCCCCTGCCGCGGCCCCTTACGCGGCCCTGATGCGGTCCTGCCGCGGCCCCTGGCGGCGCCCTGACGCGGCCCCTGACGCGGCGCCCTGACGCGACCCTGCCGCGGCCCCTGACGCGGCCCCTGCCGCGGCCCCTGACGCGGCCCCTGACGCGGCCCCTGTCGCGGCCCCTGACGCGGCCCCGCCTCCTCTCAGCGGCTCCGCCGCCTCCTCTCAGCGGCCCCGCCGCCTCCTCCCAGCGGCCCCGGACGCCGCCCTCTCAGCGGCCCCGCCGAGCCGCCCAGCAGCCGAGCCGCCGAGCCGCCCAGCAGCCGAGCCGCCCAGCAGCAGAGCCGCCGAGCCGCCCAGCAGTCGAGTCGCTGAGCCGCCCAGCAGCCGAGCCGCTGAGCCGCCCAGCAGCCGAGTCGCCGAGCCGCCCTGCAGCCGAGCCGCCCGAGCCGCCCTGTCCGGTAAGAGCAGCGCCTCTCTCACAGCACTGCCCTCACCCCACTGTTTGCACTGCTAGTCTACTACTGTCATGGCTGCCCCTAGTGTCCTCGCTTTTGACGCTGAGGGTCGGGCCATTGACTTTGACGTCTGGATAGATGACCTGCAGCTTTTCTTACAGTGCGATAGGGCAGACGGCCTCTCCCTCTTTGACCTCACTTCTGGTGCCTCTCCTGCTCCCGCCACTGATGCTGACGCAACTGTTCGCTCCCAGTGGGCCACGCGCGATGCTGTTGCACGTCTTGCTGTGCGTCGCCACCTGCCTACCTCTGAGCGTGCGCACTTTAGCCAGTACAAGAGTGCTCAGACCTTGTACGACGCTGTAGTTGCACGCTACTCCTCCCCTGCCACTGCTGCACTGAGCCGCCTCATGCTACCGTACCTCTTCCCTGACCTTGCTGCCTTTCCCACAGTCGCTGACCTCATCACGCACCTCCGCACTAGTGACACTCGCTACCGCGCTGCGCTTCCTGCTGAGTTCTGCGCCAAGAACCCCCCCCCATGTACATCACCCTCTACTACATCGTCACCCGTCTCCCTGACTCCCTTCGCGTAGTCAGGGACCACTTCCTCTCGGTTTGTCCCACCACTCTCACCGTTGACCTCCTCGAGAAGGCCCTCCTAGCAGCAGAAAAGAGCATAGTCGCTGTAGGAGCCTCTCGTGGTGACCCTCGCACCCCCATCTTTGAGGGGTGTTCCCCCTCCCCTCTTTTGCCCTCTGTTGCCTCTGCTGCTGCGGCCGACCTCGCTGGTTTGGAGTCGGTTGGGGCAGCGTCTACCCCTAGCGGGAGACGCCGCCCTGGCAGGGGCAAGGGGGGCAGGGGCGCTGGAGGAGCTAGCGGGGGCGGTGGAGGCGGCGGTGGAGGTGGTGGAGGAGGTGGTGGTGGCGGTGGGAGTGGTGGCGGGGGTGGAGGTGTAGGTGGCGGCAGTGGAGGCGCAGGAGGCAGCGGCGGTGGCGGAGGGAGCGGAGGTGGCGGCGGTGGAGGAGGAGGCGGCGGAGGAGGTGGAGCTGGTCGGGGTGGCGCTGCGCAGAGGGTCAGCTCCGGTGGTGGTCAGCGCCAGCAGCAGCAGCAGCAGCAGCGCACTCGTGACGTCCCCTCCCCTCAGCAGCTCCGTGAGTGGTACACTGCACGCCAGAGGGGTGGGGGTGCTGGTCCGTGCACCTACGTCTTGCGCACCGGCGACCGCGCGGGTGAGCAGTGTGGGGGTGCGCACTCCACCCAGCGCTGCTTTGGCCGCCTCACGGACGCTTGGCGTCACCAGTTTCCTGAGGCCACTGAGATCCCCCGCTGGGGTGAGCTGTCTAGGGCGGGTGTAGCTGTCTTTGACCTTGACTTTGATGCTATTCTTGCTGCCGTGTATACTGTGACTATTAGTGATGAGGGTGACTGTTACCGGTGTTTTCCGCCCGACCCGGGCATTGAGACTGCTGCTCTAGGTACTGGTGAGGCTGCTGCTCTAGGTGCTAGCGAGGCTGCTGCTCTAGGTGCGTCTACTCCCTCAGGTGCTGGTGAGTCTGCTCTCTCAGGTTCTGCGTCGGCTTCGGCCTCCCACACCTTCACACTTGACTCGGGGGCTTCTCGCTCCTTCTTTCGAGACCGCACCACACTCACGCCGCTTGGCCGGCCAGTTGCGGTCTCCCTGGCAGACCCCTCTGGGGGTCCTGTCCTTGCTCACTTCTCCACTGTCCTCCCGTGTCCGGCGGCCCCCTCTGGCACCCTGTCTGGTCTCTACCTCCCCTCGTTCTCTACGAACTTGGTGAGTGGTGCTGACCTACAGGATGCGGGGGTTCACCAGTTCACTCCTGCGATGTCAGCGGGTGACCCACTGCACGGACGCTCGGACAGGCCGCCACCTGGCCACGTTTACACGTCGGCCAGGGTCGAGCCTGTACACACTGACCACTGCGTCTCCTCCAGTCCCTGCGTCTGGTCAGGTAGCTGCGTCGGGTCAGGTGTTTGCTGCAGCGTCCAGGTCTGGTCCTGAGTCTGCCCCCTGCTCGTGTCGCCTCCTGTCTCACGAGACTCTCCTCTGGCACCACCGCCTTGGCCACCCCTCCCTGCTTCGTCTCCGGAGCATGGCCTCCCGTGTCCTTGTCTCTGGTCTTCCCCGGTCCCTCCCTCCCCTTCCTCCGGGGCCAGGCCCTACCTGCGTCCCCTGTGTCGAGGGACGGCAGCGGGCTACCCCTCACTCCTCCCAGTTTCCTCCGACAGAGGCCCCGCTGCAGACGCTTCACATGGACGTGTGGGGCCCGGCCCGCGTCCGTGGACAGGGTCACGAGCGCTACTTCCTGCTGGTGGTTGACGACTACTCGCGTTACACCACAGTCTTCCCCTTGCGCAGCAAGGGTGATGTCACTGAGGTGTTGATCGACTGGATCCGCGCAGCTCGTCTCCAGCTCAGGCGGAGCTTTGGCTCGGACTTTCCTGTTCTGCGTCTGCACTCTGACAGAGGCGGAGAGTTCTCCTCTGGCCTTCTGCGAGCCTACTGTCGTGCACGAGGCATCCGCCAGACCTTCACGCTTCCGGACTCTCCACAGCAAAATGGGATTGCTGAGCGCCGCATTGGCATGGTCATGGACGTCGCCCGTACGTCCATGATGCATGCGGCTGCCCCCCATTTTCTGTGGCCGTTTGCGGTTCGGTACGCGGCGCATCAGATCAACCTTCAGCCCAGGGTCTCCATGCCGGAGACCTCCCCAGCTTTGCTGTGGACGGGGAAGGTTGGCGATGCGTCTGCGTTCCGTGTCTGGGGATCTCGGGCGTTTGTCCGCGACTTGTCTGCGGACAAGCTGTCCCCTCGTGCTGCTCCTTGCGTCTTCCTGGGTTTCCCCCCTGATGCCCCAGGGTGGCAGTTCTACCACCCCACCTCTCGCCGTGTTCTGTCCTCCCAGGACGTCACGTTCGACGAGTCGGTCCCCTACTACCGCCTCTTCCCCTACCGCACTCCGTCCCTCCCCCCGCCACCGCTCTTCCTTGTACCAGGTCCCCCCCCGGTAGACCCCCTCCCCCCTCAGGGTCCTGCCCCTTCAGGTGTGTCCCAGGTAGACGCTGTTGAGCCTGTCGAGGTCGCTGGTGACTCTGGTGCTGCTGAGGGTGCTGAGCCTGGGGGTGCTGACTCTAGGGGTGCTGAGCGTGTGGGTGCTACGCCTGGGGGTGCTGAGCCTGGGGGTGCTGAGCCTGGGGGTGCTGAGTCTGGGGGTACTCCGACTGGGGGTGCTGAGCCTGGGGGTACTACGCCTGGAGGTGCTGAGCCTGGGGGTGCTGCGTCTGGGGGTGCTGAGCCTGGGGGTACTACGCCTGGAGGTGCTGAGCCTGGGGGTGCTACGCCTGGTGGTGCTGTGCCTGGCGGTTCACCGGGTGCTCCCTCTCGCCGAGAGCCACTCTCTCCCCAGGAGCTGCGTGAGTGGTTTGCCCGGCGCTGGAGGCGAGCTGCTGGAGCTGCTGGAGCTGGAGGTGCTGCGGGTACTGGAGGTTCTGTTGCTTCTGAGGGAGCTGGTGCCACGGGTCCCGGAGGTGCTCGTACTGGGAGTTCTGGAGCTGCTGGACCTGCGGGTACTTCTGGAGCTGGAGTTGCTGCGGGTGTTGGCGCGGAGGCTACTGCTGTCGGTCCTGGAGGCAGTCCTTCTGGGGGTACTACTGGTGCTGCTGGGGGTTCTGGAGCTGGAGCTGCTACTGGTGCTGGTGCTGCCCCTGCGGGTGCTGGTGCTGTCCCTCCTGTGTCTGGAGTCGCCGCGCGGCCTCGGCCGTACTTCGTTCCGCTCCTTCAGCAGGTTCTTGGTCTCCCGCCTTCTACTGGTCCTCCTCCTCCCTTAGAGTGTCCACAGCCTGTCCCGTCGCAGTTACAGTTACAACCGGCCTCCCCACTGCCTGCTCCGTCTCCCTACACTGGTCCTACTGGAGGTCTTGCTGAGCGTCGTGAGCCTGCGTCTCGCCCTGCGTCGCCTGTCCGTGCTGCTCGCACTAGTGGTCGCGGTTCGCGTCAGCGTCCTCCTCCTGTCCCTGGCACGCACCGGATGTCTCTGCGTCCGTCCACTGCTCCTCTGCGTGCCCCTTTGCCTTCTCCTCCTGAGTCTTCTCTTCCTACTCTTGCCGACCCGGAGTCGGACTCTCTTCGCGCTGCCAGTCCTACTGTCACGCGTCTCCTTGCTACGGTTGTCACTGACCCTTCCTTTGAGTCCACTGCTGCGTCTGCTCTAGTTGCTGAGCTCGTCGACTTTGCTGCTCGCTGTCGCCTAGACTACGTCGCCAGTCTTGTTGCTGAGTCTGAGTCTGTCAGTCCTCCGTCCGTCGGGGGTGAGTGTGCCCTTGGCACGGACGTCCTTGAGGACAGGCAGGAGGAGTTCCAGTGCTTGGCCGCTGCTTCACCTCATCTCGTGTCCGTACTGCTTACCCCTGAGGGAGACCCGGATGCACTTGACATCCCGACTCCGCGCTCACCAGGCCGATGGTCAGTGCAGTCACCAACCCTCGCTTCTACACCCGCCCTTCCCAACTCCCCCTCCACATTCCCTCCTCTGTTGGACAACTGCTCTCTAGCGTTCTGTGTGCCATGTGCCGTTGCACCGTTGTCACTGCCTTCCACGCGTTACCTTGGTGATGCTTGTCAAAGTCATTCTTCGACTCGTTCACTGCGCATATTACCGTCTGTGCATACCTTGTCCAAACATGAGCATTGACTCGGCTCGTTTCCGTTGGATGCGTCGACAGGCATCCCATTAAGCAGTATGGGGCGACGGGTGCAGGGGTGACGGGGACAGGGGGGCGGGAGAAGAGGGGGAAGGGGTAAGAGGGGCAGAGGGGGAAGTTGGGAGAGGGGTAGCGGGGAATAGGTGGAGAGGAAAGAGGGGGGCGTGGGGAAAGGAGAAGAGGGGGACGTGGGGATAGGAGAAGAGGGGTACAGGGGCCGTGGTAGGAGAGGGGACAGGGGGAGAGGGGAAGGGGGGGGCGTAAGGAGTGGGGAAGAGGGGGATGTGGGGAGAGGGGAAGAGAAGGGGAGGGGACGCTGGGGCAGAGGAAGAGAGGGTGGCGAGAAGAAGCAGAGAGAAACAGATTGATGCAACAATGCATTGAAAGGGGCTTGGTGGGGCCATAGATGGAATGTCGACTAAAACAAATCAAGACGCTTGCATGCAGATTCAAGCAACATTGCAGCAGTAACTGGAACAAGAAACGATAAAAAAAAGGGTGGGGGGGAGGGGGAGGGGGGGGGGGGGGGTTGCGTGTGGGAAGGTGGGAGGGTGGGGCAGAGGAAAGCGACATTGGAGGTAAAGGGGGAAGAGAGAAGGGCATGGTGTAGGATGGAGAGAAGGGCATGGTGTAGGATGGAGAGAAGGGCATGGTGTAGGATGGAGAGAAGGGCATGGTGTAGGATGGAGAGAAGGGCATGGTGTAGGATGGAGAGAAGGGCATGGTGTAGGATGGAGAGAAAAGAGTACCGTTGCTGCAAGAACTTGAATCTCCTTCTTCCGCCACCTGGTAGGGGATATAGTGCACCGTCACACCCCCTCCCCTCCCCCCCATACCCCCCCACACTCACACACACACATGCACTCACACATACCCACCCCTCCCCCCCTCCCCCCAACAAAACCACAGACACTCACTCACACACATCCCCGCACAAACATGCACAGCCATGTGCAGATTAACAATAGCAGAGGTAAAACGAGTAAGCCCAATCAATCAAGTAACACATCACGACAACTCCCCCCAGGCCCCCCTTTTTCACTGTGGCCAATATCCTTTCCAATCAATCAACCACCCCCTTGCCACCTTCTCTCAGCCCACATCCCCACCATCGCCACCCACGCACGCATGCCCGCTCTGTCCCTTCAGGCCATACATCACAGCCCGGCCGCGCCGTGCAGGCACCCCACCTGTCCTGGTGGTCGTCCCTGTCAGCCACGCCCAGCTTTGCACTGTATGCCAGCGCTGACACTCCTGCCTGCCGCAGCTTCCGAGCCACCTGCATGCCCCACCCCCACCCGCACGCATGCACGCACGCAAGCACGCACGCACACACACAAACGCGCACGCACAAACCCACGCGCGCGTACACACATGCACACACACACGCACGCACATGCACATGCACATGCACACACACACGCACACACGCACATACGCACGCACGCACGCACACACACACACACGAGATTCCTTGGGGCACACACGCTTGGGTCATGTGTCAACGTACCGACAACCCCAAACGTGCAACACGACCTCCCCACTTTCCCCCACCGGTACCGGTAGACATGAGCAACGAGCGAACCGAACACGTTTGACTCGAACAGTTGACAAACACTTGGTCAACTCGAACCGAACCGAACACGTTTGTCCCGAACAGTTTTCGTAAATGTTAGTGTTCCCCGTTCGAGTTGAGTGTCGAACAGTTTTGAGGCATGGCCAAACACTAAGGTGTTTGACACGAACTCGAACAGTTTGCCATGGGGGGTACTTTCTATTATAATCACATTCAGTGCATGTAAGAAACTCAGGGCGTGTGTTCTACAAGCAAAATCAGAATGTAAATAAAGGTAGCAGCGAAGATCCGCAATGCCTCGCGCACATGGTCGACTGAAATATGGTCGCGCATGGTCAACAGCTCAAAGTTCAGGGCAACGTCAAGTCAAGGACATGCAAAACAAAGCCAGACAGCACCAAGTCCCCATGCAACTCCCTCACTCAACTCCGGTTCCCCCCCCCACATCAACAGCCTCCTCCTCATCCCCCTCATCTAGCCCCTCTCCCTCCAGCGCCAACTCTGGTGGTGCCTGCTCTCCACTGCGGCCGGGTTCCTCACCAATACTATTCCCAGGGTGTGACGTGTACCATGACCTGAGAGTCATGCTCGCGCTAACATGCTCAGTGTTCAGCCTGTGCCTGTGCAAGGAGATGAGGTTCCTCCCCATGGAGAAAGCTCGCTGGCTAGCTGCAGAAGTGGCAGGGATAGCGAGGTAATCCCGTGCCATCTGCCTCAACGTGTCCATGTTCCTCGCACGCTGCCAGTACTGCAGCGCTGGCACGTCCGAGACAGGCAGCTCCGCTAAGTACCAGCGCAGTAACTAGTAGTGCGGATGGGCCAGGAATGGACTTGTCTTGGCTGCTAACCAACCCTACATCAACCATTTCGGAATCCATAATGGCCTAGCCAGAAAACGGTGGAAAACAAGGTGTTCACGCACTTTCACAAAAGCCCTACATTAGTTATTGTAAGGCTTGGCGCAGATCTGATGGGAATCAATTACGCCTTGCTAAACTCTTTGCTAAAACGAAACTGTTTTTAAACGTTTCCTAACCTAGTCTACCCTTATACTTAACGTTTCTAGCCGCAATGTGGACTTAAAACCGTGGGAGTGGTGCAGTTTAAATGGGTAGTGGGCGGAAAGCTATCCTAAGTGGAAATCGACGATTGAGCCCAAGAATGAGCTCAATCGTCGACCTCCCCTTTTAGATCCAAAAAGCGCGTCAATTTTTGACGCGCTGGATTTCGGCGAACACCTAGGTGTTCGTGCATTTTTTTGCACGAACCCACACGAACAGTCGAACATGTTCGTGACGAACACGAACATTTTTGGGCAAAAAAAAACCCCTGTTCGGTTCGAGTCGAACGTGTTTGACTCGAACCGAACAGGGGTTCGGGAATTTGCTCATGTCTACCCACCGGTGACAGCAGATGCCGTGAGCGGATTACACAGATCACCTCCACAGAGAAGCGGGGCAGTAACACTGTCCCAACACTGTCCCAACGTCGCAAAACTGTCGCAACACTGTCGCAACACTGTCGCAACACTGTCCCAACACTGTCCCAACACTGTCCCAACAATGTCCAAACAATGTCGCAACACTGTCTGAACACTCTCGCAACAATGTCCGAACACTGTCGCAACACTGTTGCAACACAGTCGCAACACTGTCCCAACACTGTCCCAGCACTGTTGCAACACTGTCCCAGCACTGTCGCAACACTGTCCCAACACTGTCCCAGCACTGTTGCAACACTGTCCCAGCACTGTCGCAACACTGTCCCAACACTGTCCCAGCACTGTTGCAACACTGTCCCAGCCCCATTTATAGGGCGAATACGTGCTAGGCGCGGACCTCGTGACGTGCGAGGTTTGGATGTGTCGCGATTGGTGCGGGGCGACTCGGCAGTGGTTCAGGTCGAAATGTAGGCCGAACCGAAAACTGACGCGCAGTGTTCGGGGCTGTCCTCGCTAAGGGCAGCTTGAGCAGTAATGAATTGTATATTCATTACTCTTATGAATGAACTTGCAGAGTGCGCAGAATATCGAATAACGAGAATGAGAATTACTGAATGACTGAATGACGATACAAGGTTTAAAGAATTTTCTCGATATTCCTTTAGCGCGCCCTGCAACATCGCGTACAGCAGTAGCCGTTGTTCGCCCATTACTGCTAACGGGGCTTCGCCGACTTCGCGCGCACTGTTTCACCAAACCTCGCACTGCTGGCCCGGCCGTGTCGGCCTACGCTTCGGGACTAGCCCAAGCCTCGCTGCCAGCGTAGCACTAGCTAGCTCGCACGCACCGCGTTACCGTTTGCATGTTTCGCTTATAAATGTTCGCTCATGCCTTCGCTCACATTTTGTACTCGTTTGACACCTTAGTGCAATTCTCGCTACTTCGATCCATTGCACCTGTAACACTTGGTATTCAGAGCCTCTTTCCTTTTCGGACCGCGCATCTCCGCACCCCAGGAAATCAACTTTTGATTTTTTCACTCGAAGGGACTCACGCACCTTAGCCCCTAGGAGCTGCTGTCCTCGCGTTCTCTCGTAAACGCGTGCAGCCACGTCTGCGCCTAGACTAAGGCGAGCCGACGCCCTTCGGAATGGCCGAACGCATCGACGTCACCAGCCTTACGCAGGACAGCCTGGACGAGCTGCTGCGACAACTGCACGAAAGCTCCGTGCCGGCCGGCGAGTCAACTCTACCGTCGCCGATGCCGCTGAAGCCGCAGCGTCCCTCGTGTTTTGACCCAAGTCAGCGGGGTGGTCCTACCGTTCAGGCGTGGCTCTTCACGTTGAATGTTTTCTTCGACGCGAACTACGTCTCGGAGGATACGACGAAGATTTCTTACGCCGTGCCATAGACTTGTGGCGTGTCATCGTCACGAAGCCGGCCGACTACGCGACTCTACCGACACGGGAAGGACAAACCGGACCCTGGGCGCCGTCGTATTTCGTGGAGGTGCCCCAGTATCGCACGTGGGACGCGTGGTGCGCAGGTCTGTGCGCTCGTTTCGAGCCAATTGCGGCTTCGATCGGGCACGACAGAGGCTCCGCACTTGGCGCCAACTCGGTTCCGTCCAAGACTACACGAGCGGGTTTCTGGCGCTATGCGAGCAAGTGGGATATATGCACGAGAGCGACGCATTGACCGCTACGTCGGCGGCCTGAAGCAGGACATTGCTCAGGAGATCCAGCTTAGCGGCGTCACCGATTTTCAGGAGATTCTCGCCATGGCGGAGAAGCTCGGTTTCTTCCGCCGACCGAGACCGGGGTCCTACGGAAGCAGCGATTGGGGACATCGGCCTCGTGGGACGAACGAGGGCGCTACGATACGTGCCGTCGCCGCAAATGCCGCTGCCGCACCGTTTAAAGGGCGCTGCTTTGCGTGCAATCGGCCGGGACACCGTAAGAGCGAATGCCCGGAAAACGCTAAGGGAAAGGGGGAAGCTGAGCAGCAGAAACAGACCAAGCAGCAGGGAAACGCTGGGAGTCAGTAGCAGACGGGCCCTCTACTGACAGGTCACGCCGCTCGCCCGACCCAACCGACCCTCACCGAGTGATTGTGCCGGTTCACGCAATCGACCACACCCGGCCGAATAAGGAGGGTACTACGGTAGACAGCCCCATACTGCTTAGTGGGAAAATCGGCAACACTGTCCCAACACTGTCCCAGCACTGTTGCAACACTGTACTCGGTGCGCCAGGCATCCTCGAGACGGTCGAAGCAGTGATACTCAGTGTGCCCAGTCTTCCCGCAGGTCTCACCCTTCTTGAGACCCGTGCGCCTGACATACGTGCATCGAACAGAGCCCTCAGGGGAACCACGCTGGACAACCCACTCACAAAGCTGCTGAGGGGTGGGTGTGTCCGGGAGGCGTGGCAGCTGCTGTCCACTCTCATAGCCTCCGCCGCCGCGAGCTGAACCCCCATAGCCTCCACCCCGACCGCCTCCATCACCCCCGCCACCTCCACCACCCCCGCCACCTCCACTGCCTCCACCTCCGTTGCCACCTCCACCACCTCCATCCCCGCCACCACCACCCCCACTACCACCACTACCAGTGCCACCCCCACCACCCTTACCCCCCTTGCCCTTGCCGCTGCGGCGCTTCCCACTAGGAGCAGAAGCATTGCCGACTTCCTCAGCACCAAGGAGGTCGACAGCAGCAGCAGAGGCAACTGAGGGTACGAGAGGGGAGGGAGCACACCCTTCAAAGAAGGGGGAGCGGGGAGTGCCACGAGAGGCAGCGACAGCGATAGTACAGGTCTCAGCCTCGAGAAGGTACTTCTCCAGCGAGGCAAGCATGAGCTCAGTGGGGTCAAGGGCGAGGAAGTGGTCCCTAACGGTGCAGAGGGAGTCAGGGAGGCGTGTGACGAGGAAGTACAGGGTGATATAAAGCGGGGGGGGGGGGGAGGGGGGGGGGGGTTCGCAGCGAGGAAGGCCGGCTTGAGAGCGGCGCGGTAGCGAGTCTCACTAGAGCGAAGGCGGGTCATGAGATCAGCAACAGTGTGGAAATCTGCGAGCTCAGGAAAGAGGTACGGCAGCATGAGACGGCCTAGGGCAGCAGTAGCTGGGGAGGAGTAACGAGCGAGAACAGCGTCATAGAGGTCTTTGGCTGTCTTCTGCTAGCCAAAATGTGCCCTCTCAGCTAGCGGGAGGTGGCTGCGGACAGCAAGGCAATGTGAGGGTGTTGAGAGTAGCGAGAGGAAAGAGGGTTCAATAAAGAGTAAAAGGTACAATGATATAGGCAAGAACTAGGGGTGCACCACCAACAAAGTATTAAACTACACTACAGTTATTGCAAAGGAGAGTTTACATAAAAATATGTTTACAACAGCCACGACGGTAACTGTATTACGAGATAAAAGTTATTTGGTGGTTTGACGGGCGCACTACAACTGACAACGTGTTGTGGTAGACAAAATAAAATATCTCGAACTGTTAACATTCGCAACTCCAAATGCGTGCCTCACTTTCTGAAGATCGTAACCAAGCAAGCGATTTCGTTAGACTCATAGCTTGCTTACTAACTAACCGTAAAAAAAGCAGGTATGCGACTTGAATTATTCAAATGGGGTTTCCATTCCGATGGTGGCCTAGAACACTAAGCTCGGCGTTCAAAGTTTGCTAGAATTGTAGTGTGTCCCTCTGAGCAGGAGTCTTGGCTATTGTTGCTTACCCTATAACAGAACGTTGGTGGCAAATCTGCTGGTTCTTTCTCCCGACTATCTCTTCAGCACGTGATAATATCGAGGTGAGGAAACAAGAAACCCTTCAAACGCAACCGAGCAAATCAACGGTCAAGAGAGCTTTATTTCTACTAAAAACGGCATAGATAGCTGAAAGACTACTTTGCTATTACTGGAGCTAACACAATTCACAAAGGAGTCTGCAAAATAACAAGACTACCTACATCTTGAGTCGGTGCGCGTGTGACCCTACCCTTGCTGCATCGCAGCTCACCCCCTTGCCTATATGTCTCTTGATTCGTTCCCTCACCAGCCGAAATGGCTCTCGCCTGTCCCCCTCCTAGTCCAGGTTCTCTAATAGGTATGCTACCCTGCCTTGTGTCTCCTGCAGCCATTCCATGATTTGGAGCAGGTTCTCCATCAGCTTCGTCTTTCGGCCCTCTCCTCCTCTTCCTTTTCCTGCCCATGATATCCATGACATTCCTATCCAGCCACGAGCAGGTCCACCTTCCCCCAGCTGTCCACCTCAGCCTCTGTTATCTACTGCACGTCATAAATGGTTCCACCCATGGCATCCCAAATCACCTTCCCGCTCAGGAGCTCCGGGAACTCTACATGTAACTTCAACGCGTGATGCTCAACCATCCTCCTTATTGCATGCGCCTGTTCCACGTATATCCATTGTTTCACCGCGATTCCACTCCTCACCACTGTTGCCAATCCTGCCCCAATTCCCCCTAACAGTTCCACCAGACGGATGGGTTGCTGCCAAACAGTCTGCTGCCTCAGCACGACCATTAGTCTCATCTTGGGCCCTTCTTCAGCCCCCTTCGGTCCTCTCTGCTCCTCTGCTATCTGCTTCATTAGTATATGTCCTGTCGTAGCCTGGTACGTCCTCTTAGGCTCCAAATTCATGAACTGTATAAGCAGCTGCCCTAAGGGTCCCTCCTTTTTCCAGTACCACGTCCAGAACTCTACCTTCTCTATCCACGTGCATATGGTCATTCCCACCGCAAACGCCAGCTCAGTGCCCACTTATACATCGAAATTCTCTGACTATGAGATCCCACACTTCATTCTGATCTTGGTCTCGTGCTCTCCCCCCGGCAGCAAAGCCAGTTCTATGGGTGTTTGTGTGCACGGCATCCACTTTGGTTCCCCCCCTTCTGCCATCATCACCAACATTCCTTTCACCACGTGCTTTTATGGGGCCATCAGCCCTAATCTCTCAACCATACCCTTGCCCAGCATCACACTCTGTGTTCATATATATATGTTGGCCGTTCTCACCTTCACCCCTTCCACCAGTAGCACCGAATTCTGACACGCCAACCTTTCCTGGGGATGGCGTGCTGGAAGATGCTCCTGCGCTGGCCCTTTTGGTTTTTGTCCCCTCTCCCGTTCTTTCCTGACATGCTCTTGCATGTCGTCCTTCCCTCCGCTTCGCAACCCCAGCTCTTCCCTTCCTCTCCACGCAATGAGGGCACACTGTACATCATGTTCCACCTCTTCTCCTTCCTCATGCCTAGCGTACATCCCTGCCCTGGCCTCCCACCTTGATCCCAAAACTTGCAGTTGTGACTGCAGCTTGCTGATCTACTGCTTCATCTCTTCTGGTTTTCTTCTCGCTCCTCCCTCCCGCTAATAGCAATCCATGGCCTCGTGCCCCATTTTACCACATATCTTACATCTTGGCGCGTCAATACATTCTTGCCTTTAGTGTTCTGGCTTCCCTCGGCCATCACATTTCTTGCCATCCTTGCAAACGTGCCCCCTCTGACCGCATATGTGACACGTTCGTGTGCTAGTTCTGCCCTCCCCTTGACTATCTGACCTCCACGTTTCTTCAGGTATCATCGCTGCTGCCCAGGTCGACCCGCGCCTTCTCTCCGTCGGCTAGGGTTAGTATGCTTCGTACTTCCTCTGTGCAAGCTCCACCTTTTTTGCTAACTCGAACGCTTCATCTAGTGTCGCATATGCTCTCAGCTCATATACCATCATCCTTAATCCGCCCTCTAACGCCTCGTCCAGGCCCCGTATGAACCTACTAATGAGAAGACTATTGTCTGTGTACTTCACGTCCTCTGCCGCCGCCGCCGCTCCCTCCGATTGGCACTCCTTAATTGATTCCACACGGCGAACCGTCTTCTCTATGCTATGCGTTAATGCGCAATAGCTGGCGGTGTGCTAGATTAATACTCATGAGATGAACTCGCAGAGCAGCGCCACAAAGGTGGAACTAGCAACCACCGCGAGCCTTTCGCCGTACCGCATGATTGGTCGGCGAGAGAGCGATACGAGAGAAAGGAGGTAAATAGAGATGCTGGAGACGCCAGAAAGGGTGGGTACTAATCGTATGAATGGGGTATGACTCGGGGAAACGACGGATCAAAGACAGTGAAAAGAGGAAGCAGCATTGGAGCAGTCGGATACAAGATGCGTGCGAGTCCGCGGATGAGAGATGAGGGGTGCTTCGAATGCTGCGGTATGACCATGAGCAATGCGATCTATGTAGCTATGAGAGCTAACTAACATTACACTTATTACGAAGTGTACGGAATTTCAATCCTACCGAGTTTGTACCGCACCGCGTACGAGCACAACTCTCGGAGCAACACCAAACGCGTTCACTCACACATGACGCCCATCAAAAGCTAGCAACCGACGGACGCGCACTCGAGTCGAGACAAAGAAGCGCGGGTCAGATTTCCCTCGTTCATGGTTCATAGTGCACCACTCGTACTGTTGGTGAGTAGCGGTTCAGAGCGGTGAAAAGAACCAACCTCTTTGGATTGCACAACGTCGTACTCAACCGTTTTTTCTGAACAGAAAGTGAAACCAGCCCCATGTGGTGTGGTATATGTGCGGAGCCTCTTCGCATTGCGCCACGCTGTGGGATTTGCATTTCTCAGCGCCCCTCCCCGTCTTCGCCCCCTCGTTCTTTTGCATTCTTGTTCTTTCACCAGCACTCACCCATCGTCGTTCCCCGCGGCAGCGGCACGCTGGCAGTGGCAATTTCTACCCTCTCCCTTTACCCCTTCCCCACAAAGTCCGTTGCACCCTGCTGTGCGCCTCTTTCCGTCCCCACTAGTTTCCGCGATGAAACGCGTTTCGCCATGCGCCGAGAGAGAGTGCAACCATCGCGTTTGTCCAACAAATAAATCATTCTCCGCAAGTCTCGCGCTTCTCGCTACCCTAGCGTACTCGATCGCCTTTTACTGGTAGCTTCTTTGCCTTGCGCACAACCACGTTAGGAATGCCTAGCCGCACACTGGGCGCCTCCCCACTGGGGCAACGGTTCGCAACACGTTTGCAACGGCGCGTTCCACCCCGTCATCGCCTCTCGTCAATCCATTCGCGCTGCCCCATCATGACAAAAGTCGCCACACCCTTGATCTACTCCTTCGCGCTGCCCCAACCCCGTCGCCTGGTCCTAAGCTCCACCAAATGCGCGATTCCTCCGGCGCCGAGGCCCCTGAGTTTCCTCTCTTTCCCCCTTTTCCCCCTTTCCGCCACGGAACGCGTTACATGATCCGCGAGTAGATTACTACGAGTAAATCAAAATTCGTGACCGCTCGCCGCTCGCTCATAGATTGACGCCGCTCCCGAGACCTCAATTATCACATTCTCCCGCCCCTCCTCGCTCATTGTGTGCCTTTTCTTCCTCTCCTCAGTCAAACATTCTCAGTCGCACTTTCGAGATCCCACCGATCTCTCCTCGTCGCGAATACCAGCGCATAGTACCACGTCGGACGTGTGTCTCGGCGGTTCAACTCGGTCCCGCAGATTCTAGTCGCCATCCCGGCATCATCGCGATTCCCGTCTTCCGGAATCAGCGCGAATCGGTTTCCCCGAGTCTCGGCAGTTCGACTCGGTCCTGCGCAGCTTCTCGCCATCCCGGCATCATCATCATCATAATCGCGATCCCGCGATCCCCGCCTTCCGTCATCGCGAAACGCCGGTTTTGGTTCCCCCCAGGCCGTCCGCCGCTGTCGCCATGAAGCCCTGCGCGCGTCTGTTCGGCCTGTGTGGCCTCGCCGCACTCGTCGCGGGTCTCGTTGCCATCAGCCTCCCCGCGACCCACGCCAGCGATGACCGTGGCCCAGAGTTCGGTGAGTAGGCTGACTGCCACACACTGGCAGTAGGCTTGCACCACTGGCAGTAGGCTTGCACCACTGGCAGTAGGCTTGCACCACTGGCAGTAGGCTTGCACCACTGGTAATAGGCTTGCACCACTGGCAGTAGGCTTGCACCACTGGCAGTGCTGGGCGTGTGGGTGAGTGCGTGTGACGTTGCAGAATTTATATGCAGAATTTATATTGTTTTGGCTCACTTCCGTACGTTGCCTCTGTGCTGGTGTGTGTGTCCCTTGCCCGTGCTGGAACCGTTCCACCATTTCCGTGCAGGTACATGTGCCACTTGAAATTCACTTTTGAGAAAAATAATTAGTTGTCTGTTGAGGTTTTCTTTAAGGTGTCTGTTGAGATTTATTTTAAGGAGTCTGTTGAGATTTTCTTAAAAGTGTCTGTATCTCGTGCCCCTGCTTGAATCATTCCACCATTTCTGTGCAGGAACGTGTGCCACGTGGCGCTGGGGCTGTGGGAAGGATGCTACCTGCAATGATGATGATAACGTTGTGGGTTGCATTTGCAATGATAATACTCTTGTATACAATTACGACACCATGACGTGTGATGGTGAGTGTGCGTGTGAGGGCGAGTGTGCATGTGAGGGCGAGTGTGCATGTGAGGGCGAGTGTGCATGTGAGGGCGAGTGTGCATGTGAGGGCGAGTGTGCATGTGAGGGCGAGTGTGCATGTGAGGGCGAGTGTGCATGTGAGGGCGAGTGTGCATGTGAGGGCGAGTGTGCATGTGAGGGCGAGTGTGCATGTGAGGGCGAGTGTGCATGTGAGGGCGAGTGTGCATGTGAGGGCGAGTGTGCATGTGAGGGCGAGTGTGCATGTGAGGGCGAGTGTGCATGTGAGGGCGAGTGTGCATGTGAGGGCGAGTGTGCATGTGAGGGCGAGTGTGCATGTGAGGGCGAGTGTGCATGTGAGGGCGAGTGTGCATGTGAGGGCGAGTGTGCATGTGAGGGCGAGTGTGCATGTGAGGGCGAGTGTGCATGTGAGGGCGAGTGTGCATGTGAGGGCGAGTGTGCATGTGAGGGCGAGTGTGCATGTGAGGGCGAGTGTGCATGTGAGGGCGAGTGTGCATGTGAGGGCGAGTGTGCATGTGAGGGCGAGTGTGCATGTGAGGGCGAGTGTGCATGTGAGGGCGAGTGTGCATGTGAGGGCGAGTGTGCATGTGAGGGCGAGTGTGCATGTGAGGGCGAGTGTGCATGTGAGGGCGAGTGTGCATGTGAGGGCGAGTGTGCATGTGAGGGCGAGTGTGCATGTGAGGGCGAGTGTGCATGTGAGGGCGAGTGTGCATGTGAGGGCGAGTGTGCATGTGAGGGCGAGTGTGCATGTGAGAGCGAGTGTGCGTGTGAGGGAGAGTGTGCGTGTGAGGGAGAGTGTGCGTGTGAGGGAGAGTGTGCGTGTGAGTGAGAGTGTGCGTGTGAGGGAGAGTGTGCGTGTGAGGGAGAGTGTGCGTGTGAGGGCGAGTGTGCCTGTGAGGGAGAGTGTGCGTGTGAGGGCGAGTGTGCATGTGAGGGCGAGTGTGCATGTGAGGGCGAGTGTGCATGAGGGCGAATATGCGCATGTGGGCAAGGTTGCATGTGTGGGTGGGTTCACAGTTCGCAGTTCCACTCATCCAACCCCCTTTCACTACTTCACCTCGGAACCACCCATGTTTTCCTCTGCAGACGCGTGTGTCGGCCGGGACTGCGGCTTAGAGGCGTCGTGCATTGGCACTGGTGCTCCCATTCCTCCATGTGTGTGCAACAATAAAGGCTTTACCTTCGTCCAATCTGACAAGACATGCTTTGGTGAGTGTGCTTTTGAGTCGACTCAAAAGCTGGCTTCGTGCATTGGCACGGGTGCTCCCATTCCTCTGTGTGTGTGCATCAGTAAAGGCTTTACCTTCGTCCAATCTGACAAGACGTGCTTTGGTGAGTGCTGCCCCTGGTGACCTCTAGGCGACGCATTTCTTGAGACACTTCAGCATTTCAGCAGTTCTGCATTAGGCAGCACTGGGAGGCGCTGCTGTAGAGGCAGCGCTTGGAACGTTGACCCCTCCTCACTCCTCCCCTCTGTCCGCACCTTTCCCCTATGTCCGCCCCCTTCCTCTCCTTTCCCCTGCCCTGCCTCCAACTCGACGCCTTCAAACCCCCATCATCCGTCGCACAACCTTCAACGGCCACGATGTGGCACCGTCGCACCAATCATCATGATTTTGAGAATTCTCTGAGTTTTTTTTAGATTTCTCTGAGTTTTTTTAGAATTCTCGGAGTTTTTTTAGAATTCTCTGAGTTTTTTTTAGAATTCTCTGAGTTTTTTAAGAATTCTCTGAGTGTTTTGAGAATTCTCTGAGTTTTTTTAGAATTCTCTGAGTTTTTTAGAATTCTCTGAGTTTTTTGAGAATTCTCAAAAAACACACGTCCCCATCATCACAATGTGGCACCTTCTCAACAGACGTTCACGCAGACCCCTTGGTGCGCACGACGCTGCAGATCAAAGGCCTCCTCAGCCCGCTCATGAATCTCACCTTCTCCACTCCTCGCACACCTTCCCCCCTCTCTGCCCCCTTCCTCTCCTTTCCCCTGCTCAGCTCCGTTGGTGCGCACGACGCTGCAGATCAAAGGCCTCCTCAGCCCGCTCATGAATCTCACCTTCTCCACGGACGTGGCGGCAGAGCAGGCCAGCGGCACCACCGCGTGCAGCAACGTGGGGCAGGAGATCTACGGCGAGACCGATATCACAGTCGTATGGAACGCCTCCAACCCAGCCTCCAATCCCACCTCAACCTCAACGTCAGCCTCGCTGCAAGGGGCTGCGGCTGGCGCAGCCATGTGCAGGAGCCTGTCATTCTACTCCGGCCTGTGGTGCGAGGAGGACCTGGCGCTGACAATCTCACGCCCACGTCCTGTGAAGCGCGGCCGTGCCACTGCCTACCCCGCCACGAAAAAGTGAGTGAGTTTTGAGACATCTCAAAGCACAGCCATGTGCAAGAGCCTGTCGTTCTACTCGGGCCTGTGGTGCCAGGAGGAGCTCGCCCTCACACTCGCGCGTCCACGTCCTGTCAAACGCGTCCGTGCCATTGCCTATCCCATCACGGAAAAGTGTGTGAGCACGATGCATGTGACATGTGTGGTGTGGTCTATTGGTGTTCTTCCAACATATAGTACGACCCTCTTCTATCACTGGAATTCGCTTGACCATTGTAGTGTACAGTGAATGCCTTAACTCTCTCTCGATTTGTGTTCTCCCCATCCTCACCTGTCCCTCTCTCAGGACTGTCAAAGACGTCTATTCGGTGCAATCAGTTGGCTGCGAGATCAGTAATTGCGAGCGCATGCATACTTAATCTGTGTCGCGTGCATACTTAATCTGTGTCGCATGCATACTTAATCTGTGTCGAGTGCATACTTAATCTGTGTCGCATGCATACTTAATCTGTGTCACGTGCATACTTAATCTGTGTCGCGTGCATACTTAATCTGTGTCGCATGCATACTTAATCTGTGTCGCGTGCATACTTAATCTGTGTCGCATGCATACTTAATCTGTGTCGCGTGCATACTTAATCTGTGTCGCGTGCATACTTAATCTGTGTCGCATGCATACTTAATCTGTGTCACATGCATACTTAATCTGTGTCGCGTGCATACTTAATCAGTGTCGCATGCATATTAGAGACAAGCACGGTAGCATGTGTTTTGCTTATCCTGACAAGCTACCATACAATAGAGCGAGACACACCCAACCTCTTTGTCCATGATTCTTTTCTTTGCCTCCCTATGCCTGAAAAGCTCTGTTCTTACCCCTGTCCTCCATATGCCTGGTCTGGTTGTCCGTCTGTGGTGCCCACACCAGCCACGTGTCACAAGGATTGTGGGGCTGCTGAGTGCGTGGTGAAGGAGGGCCAGCAGCAGTGCCAGTGCCCCGAGGGCCTCGTGTTCAATGCAGCCAAGAAGCTCTGCCGTGCTGCTCCTCCTCGTAGGTGCCTTGTTTTTTATTGTATGTTTGCCAACAATAGAACACCGGCTTGGGCAACTGTTCTTGCATGCAATCGGTAAAGCCATCTGCCAGTATTACCCGCTCGCTCTCATTTTCCCCGCCTGCTGCCAACTCAGCCTCATGCTCTCTCCCCTCTCCCCTCTCCCCCACCCTCCACCTCCCATCAACGCCAGCCAAGTGCAGGCCTGCCTGCACTGCTAATGCCCAGTGCAAGTGGGTCGGAGGAAAGCCGGTGTGTCAGTCGAAATGGTGAACAGGATGTGCACATGTAAGAGGGAGAGGGAGAGGGAGAGGGAGAGGGAGAGGGAGAGGGAGAGGGAGAGGGAGAGGGAGAGGGATAACTGCTTGCTCTGCTTTGTACCTTGCTCTCTTCCAAGCCGGTGCAGCTAGCTTATCCACTCCCACCACCTCCACCGCCCAAATACAATTTTTGAGGCGCCTCAAAAATCACCTCTACCCCCCAGATACGCCCACGAACAACCCACATGTCACTTTGTGGTCTTCCTTGTATTGTCTGCATTCTGCCTTGCTCTCTTCCAAGCCGGTGCAGCTAGCTTATCCCCTCCCACCACCTCCACCGCCCAGGTACACCCATGAACAACCCATGTGTCACTTTTTGATCTTCCTTGTATTGTCTTCTTTCTCATCTGGCTTTGTACGATGTGGCCTGCCCTCCATTTGCCCCTGCTCTTTGCAACGCAGAGAAGCTTTCTATAATAAAGACGTAGCCAAAAGCTGGCAGCTCCAGAGGGACATCAGGTTGGGGGTGCAGAGGTGCGGAGCAACTGCATGCGGTTGCTTGGAGGCCAGGAACCAGATTTGGCTGATGGCTGGCTTAGTCAATTAGTGTGTGTGGTATTAGGAGTGGCGAGTGTGTGTGCTTGCTGGTCTTTTGTACCATATATGATATTAATAGTGGTATCTACTTGTTTGCTATCTCTGGATGTCTTGAACTTCTTGTGTACCTTTTGTACTGCAATCAATTATTTTGCTAATCTATGCATGACCATTCGCTTCGCCTTACAGTGCCTGTGCTAGACTATACTGGTTGTATTTGTCGAGAGAACTGTGCAGGAATGATTGGATTAGCAAGAGTTGGGGTACAAGTACTAACCCTAGAAGTGCTCTACCCCATAAGGAGTGCCCCACTATAGTCTACAAGTAAGATGGTACCTTGACACACCCCCATAGGCTAAGTGGGGGACAACGAGACGGTCACAAGACCAGTCAAGCGAGACAACAGAGCAACGCAAAGCAAAGCAAAGCTCAGGGTGGATCTCAAGGACACCACACAATCTGAGCACAAGCAAGCGGCCACAAGGCCAGTTCACATGCAGAGTTATAATAGCAAGGCAGTACACTGATCACAACCTAGCAAGAGCAAACAAGCAGGTATAAAGATATATATCAGTGTACAACAAGAGCAAGTCAAGCAACCAGCAGGTGAGGCAGACTGAGCACAAGCCCAAGAGCAGTGCAGAAACGCTGATGATCACCAGACCCAAGGGCCTTGGTGAAGACATCAGCAGTGTTGGCCTGCGAGGCCACGTAGGAAAGCGGACCTGACGACGCTGCTGCAGCTCACGCGCAAGGAAGTAGCGAAGAGCAATGTGCTTCGTTCTGTGCTCCAGTCTCTGCTCGTGACACAAGGCCAGCATTGCCTTGTTGTCGACGTACAGAACTGGAGGAGAACGAGGCCGCTCCCCCAAGTCAGTCAGCAGGTAGGTCAGCCAGCGTAGCTCCTGTGCAGCCATGGCCCCAGCATAGATCTCGGCCTCACAGCTGGAAACAAAGCACAGAAGAAGAACGAGTGGACCTCCACGAGACAAAACCAGAGCCAAGACTGAAGGTGAAACCCTGTGACGAACGATGAGTCGCCTGGTCGTCGGCCCAAGAAGCGCCGGAGTGTCCTGTGAGTACCAATGAACCCTGTCCTCCAAGCACTAGCCCCATGCCCGATGTACTGCACAAGTAACGCAGTACCCTCTTCGCAGCATCCTAGTGCACCTTTCGGTGTCTACCGGGAGCCACGTAGCGAGTCAGGAGGCTGAGAGGGTACGCGAGGTCAGGTCGTGTGCACGTCATCAGGTACATGAGGCAACCCACAAGCTCTGGATATGGACCACTCGGCTCTACGGACTCGTTCGAAGGGGGAGCTGAGAGCGAGTGGCCGGTAAACAGAGGAGTGGGCTGTGGCGAGGAGAACTGGAAGGCGAAGCGCTGAAAGACCAGGTGCACCATGTCAGAAGAATGAACGAGAATGAATGCATTGAGCAGAAGTTGGGTACAAGTACTAACCCTAATTGGGTTGTACCCCTTATGGGCTACCCCACTATAGCCTACACAAATGTAAGCACTACAACATTCTGACACACATAGGCAAAGTGGGGGAGAACAAGTGGTCACAAGACCAGTCAAGAAAAGCAAAGCAAGCTCAGGGTGGATCACAAAGTCACCACACAGTCCGAGCACAAGCAAAGGGACACAAGGCCAGTTCACATGCAGAGTTATATAAAAGAGAACAAACAATATAGTGATCATACCCTAGCAAGTGCAAGCATGTAGGTATATAAATAGATCACAGTACAAGCAAAGTCACGCAGTGAGCAAGTGAGGCAAAGTAGGCACAAGGTCTAACACAGTAGAGAAGCGCTGATGATCACCAGGCGGAAGTGCCTTGGTGAATATATTTGCAGTGTTGGCCCTAGTGGCCACGTACGCAAGACGAAGCTGGCCACGCTGCTGCAACTCTCAAGCAAGGAAGTATCGCAGAGCGATGTGCTTCGTTAGGTGCTCCAGTCTGTGCTCCTGACACAAGGCAATCATGGCCTTGTTGTCTACGTACAGAACTGGAGGCGAACGAGGCTGCTCTCCCAAGCCAGTCAGCAGGTAGGTGAGCCAGCGTAGCTCTTGTGCAGCCATGGCCCCTGCGTAGATCTCAGCCTCGTAGCTGGAGCTGAGAACCGAAGACGAGCGGGTAGACTGCCAAGAAACAGAGCCAGAACCGAGGCTGAAGGTATAACCCTGTGACGACCGCTGCATACCTGAGTCGTCAACCCAAGAAGTGTCTACGTGACCAGTGAGGACAACTGAACCCCGTCCTCCAAGCACGAGCCCCATGCCCGACGTACTGCACAGGTAACGCAGTACCCTCTTTGCAGCATCCCAGTGCACCTTTCGGTGCCTTCCGGGAGCCACGTAGCAAGCCAGGAGGCTGAGAGGGTATGCGAGGTCAGGTCGTGTGCAGGTCATCAGGTACATGAGGCAACCCACAAGCTCTGGGTACGGACCACTCGGCTCTACGGACTCGTCCGAAGGTGGAGCTGAGAGCGAGGGGCTGGTAGATAGAGGATTGGGCTGTGGCGAGGAGAACTGGAAACCGAAGCGCTGAAGGACCTGGTGCACCATGTGTGACTGAGTCAGTGTGATGGTGCGCCGTGCTCTGTCCCGGGTGATCTGCAAGCCAAGATAGCTGCGCAGCTCACCCAGGTCAGTGCAGGTGTATCTCTTCTTCAGCTCCGACTTCACAAGGGTCAGTGCCTCAGTGTCAGCAGTGGCAAAGACGAGGCCGTTGACGTACACGAGGACGTAGAACGGCGGCAGCGACGTGTCGGTGCGTAGAAAAAGCGACGGGTCAGCAGTTGAAGGAGTAAACCCCAGAGCCGCAAGCGTAGTCCTCAGTGTGTCGTGCCACTCGCGAGGCGCCTGGCAAAGACCGTAGACTGGCCGCCGGAGGCTCCACTGGGTACCTGCAGGAAACGACCCAGTGAAGCCAGGTGGGCGGTGTAGCCAGATCTCCTCGTGCAGGTTGCCCTGCAAGAAAGCTGTACTGAAGTCCAGAGAGTGTAACTCGTAGTCACGCTGAGCAGCGACGTACAGCAACATCCGAAGAGTGGTCATCTTCGGAGTGGGGGAGAAGGTCTGGAAGTAGTCAACCCCCTGTCGCTGACAGAAGCCTCGAGCAACGTAACGTGCCTTGAAGGCAAGCGGAGAACCAGGCGGCCGCTTCACTCTGAAAATCCACATGCGATCGACTATGTTCGCCCCAGGAGGAGGAACCTCGTCGACGTAGGTGCCTGTGGACTTCCAAGAAGCCATTTTTGCATCCATGGCTGTTTGCCAATGAGAGGAGTACTCACCCGCGATCGCCTCAGCGTAAGAGCACGGGGTAGGGATGTGAAGTGCATCCGGGTCTCCCTCAGGGGCAAGCAGCATGGAAGCGAAATGAGGTACAGCACCTGCAAGACACTCAAAGTTGTCCTGCTTGTCCTCAAGGACGTCCGTGCCAAGAGCACACTCACCCCCGACGGGCGGAGGACTGGAAGACTCAGACTAAACAACAAGAGCAGTGGCGTATTCTAGACGACAGGCAGCAGCAAAGTCAAGCAGCTCAGCAACGAGTGCAGACGTAGCAGTGGATTCAAAAACAGGGTCAGTGACAACAGTGGCAAGGAGACGAGAGACAGTGGGACTGGCAGCACGAGCGCGGCCAGACTGAGGGTTAGGGGCGGCATGAAGAGAGGACACAGGAGGAGCAGGCAGAGGAACACGCAGTGGAATAGAGGCAGGACGAAGTGCCTTAGCATGTGTGCCTGGGACAGGAGGAGGGCGCGGACGAGGAATGCGACGACCAGTGTAAACAGGGGAGGCAGGACGAGACGCAGGCTCACGACGCTCGATAAGGCCTCCGGCCTGCTCAGTGTAAGGAGATGGGGCAGGCAATGGGGAGGCTGGCAGTAACGGCGGCTGTGACTGGTCAGGCGGTGGACACAGTAGGGGAGGAGTAATGTCAGTAGAAGACGGGAGACTAAGAACCTGCTGAAGCAGGGGAACGAAGTACGGTCGCGGCCGCACAGAGTCTCCAGCACCAGTACCACCAGCAGCCTCAACTCCAGTACCTCCAGCTCTAGGGTCAACACCTCTAGCTCCTCAAGCTCCAGCGCCTCCCGTGCTGGTGCCTCCAGCTCCAGCTCCACTAG